GGATCTATTAATTGTAATCTACCAATACCAGTATTTTCTGTAGCGCTATCGTATTCCATTGAGAGGGATCTATTAATTGTAATCTACCAATACCAGTATTTTCTGTATCGCTATCGTATTCCATTGAGAGGGATCTATTAATTGTAATCTACCAATACCAGTATTTTCTGTTGTGGTTAACACTCTTATCAATCAAGTTTACCCATGCTCTGATAATCTTTGTGTCTATATACAATTTTAGATCACTGTGATAATCAAGTCTAATCCTATTAAATCACACTTCTAAGACACCTCCCAAAGATACCTCAAAACTTTCAATTAAATTGTCATGTGTTGGAGGCTAAAACATACTACCCTAAATAACAGTACGAAATCCTTAGTTTGATTTTGAAGAATTTAAATGAATTGAATGTCTCAAAGCAATTTTTTTAATTGTCGCCAGTTGAGAGTTCTTCCTTTCAGATTCGTAAGAAAATGTCCACTGCGGGAACTGAATTTGAAGCCCAAGACATTTTGGTTCGACCGTACATTAATTAAGCTCCATTTCTCTGCTACTATAAGTCCCACATTTATCCAATTCTATGTACCGTAGTTGACTGAACCGATACTTTCTCAGAAGTATTATATATTAAAAAGCGACCTACCTATTTTTGCTTCACTGACTTTTGTTAGAGTACTTGTTTTAGCTCCGATTCCATTAAAACTGGAGCGTATGTATGTTTTACAAACAATATTTTAGTTTTTAAAAAAATCTGAATATTATGGATAACTGCATATAATATGACGCTGTTCCGTGTTTGTTTCTAGAATGAACTTCCTGCTACCTCCAAGGACTTCCGAAGACACAGTGGAAATAGAGACTAAAAATGCATCTAAAGGTAAGATTTATTGATGATACTTGTGTGATCTTCAAAGTCAACTAGTCAGAAGTAAGTTATTTTAACAAGCAATGTTACCCGAACAAGTTGCAGACCAAATGTTACTACTTCTGTAGAAGTTCCTTTTGCCTAAATATTTTTGTAACAGTGAAAGTGATAGGAAAACCAAGAAGGCAGACAGGTGTCCATCTTGAATTTTGAGTTCAGGTTTGTTAGCACAAATCCTCAAAAAGTACTAGAGTATCTTAAATTCCACATGAAGGACAGTCTTGTTTATGGAATTTGGGGACTGAAGGGGAAACCAAGTTGGTCGACAAGCAGCCAGCTTAAATTTTTAGAGTCACAGTTTGTTAGAGCACCAGAGGGATCTTCGTTTTATTTTACATGAAGGTTCCCCAAGGTCATTTATTATGCTTGAAGGGAAAACAAAGATAGACGACAGGCGAGCTTAAAATTTGAGCTATTTCTTAGAAAGTACTGTCCAGGGATCTTTCTCAAATTTCACATTTAAGTTCCCAAGTTCAATTTTGTTATAACTATTTCCTATGTACATTTGTATGTTCTTGGTCGTCTTGTTGGAAATACCCCTAACCCTAATGAGTATTCATCCCTTATTGATAGTACTTCTAATGAAGTAAGAATTACAAAGGTTTAGCATTTTCCATATATAGCTATGCAATCCCTATACAAAAACATCTGTCACAGTGGCAAATAATAGGACATTACAAGGTTTTAGTTAATGTACAAGATTCTCGTTTAGGATTTCCAACATTGGTAATTGTATCTGTAAGAGAAATGAAGAGCAAAGAAGGTAAACGATCATCTTTTGTTAATCTGATAAAGATCCTTTCATGGTGGGCACCAAGATCCTTTTAGGATCTCTCATTTGAGGCTGGTGAGATTCAATTAGCTGGAGGATTCTGGATGATAGCTTTGAATGAATTCAGATTTTTGTAAAACTTATCGCCTTATACAATGTATACCTTTTACCAAATAAGAATGTTTGAAACAATCCAGTCAGAACGTCATTTTGATTTGAAAATACGTTATTACTGTATGTAAGAATTTTAATTGACAATTTATTCATTCAGCATTGATTAATTTTATCGTTATTGATTGTGAAAAACATATCTTAACTTATTAGTAGTATGTTTCCTTATAAACTAAAATAAAATGGTGTGATCACTCCTTGGCAAAATCTCCTTGCTCTTCTGTTCTACAGCTTCTTTGGACTAGGAACCAGCGAGACAGGGCGCTAATGAATCATTTCTTTGTGTGATATATGTGTGAGGTGAATAGATAGTGTCAGGTGTAATAGGACTACATTGTAACTCTGTTTTTATGTGTGATATATTATGTGTGAGGTGAATAGATAGTGTCAGGTGTAATAGGACTACATTGTAACTCTGTTTTCTATGTGTGATATATGTGTGAGGTGAATAGATATTGTCACAACTCATATTTCTTTGTGCTGTGTAATAGGACTACATTGTAACTCTGTTTTCTATGTGTGATATATGTGTGAGGTGAATAGATATTGTCA